TATAATTTTATCATAGTAATTTATTATAATTATGCATTATATTATTCTGTTTATGACTTTTAACACACTATTATGTTGAAAAGAGAGAAATTATGCATCCATTATGAGAATATGCATTTTAAAAGTCTGACTGCTTTCTTTTTTTGTGGTGGGGATTGAACCTGGGGCCTCAGACATTCTAGGCAAGTACTCTACCTTGAGCTACATCCCCAGCTCCTGGCTGTTTTCTTGGGTGGCCTATAATTATTTTTTATTTTTGCATGAATATTTTATTTTTACAAAATGAGGATAGGATTGTTGTTTTGAGATAGTCTCTTCTACATAGTTCAGGTTGTCCTTGAACTCCATGTGTAGCCCAAGTTGGCCTTGAAATCAGTGATCCTCCTGCCTCGGCCTCTTGAGCACTATGCTTACAGGTACATGCCACTATGCCTAGCCCCAGTATTAGAATTTTTAAATGGACACAAACATTGTAGATATTTATGGGATAGCATGTGATATTTTGGTAATACAGGCAGTGTATAATGTTCACATCAAAATCTATGATTTTTTTTTACATCTTTTTTTTTTTTTTTCCTTCGTTTGGGTATCAGGAATCAAACTCACTACCTTGTACTTGCCAGGCAAACATTGTACTGCTGAACTATATCCCTGGCCCATTTTTATCTTTTTTATTTCAGTACTAGGGCCTTCAGACTGAGCTACATGCTTAGTCCTTTCGTTCTTTTTATTTTGTGGCAGGATTTGCTAAGTCACTAAATTGCCTAGAATGCACTCAAATTTGTGATCCTTTTGCCTCAGCCTCCCAGATTGCTGGAATTATAAGCATGGATTACTGTATTCAGTTTATTTTATTTAGAAGAAAATGAAAAACTGTTACAACTCAGTAAGACTAGGTTTGTCATTTCGTGATTATCAACAGATTATTTTGTTTCCTCGGATGTTTAATCATTGATAACTATGCACAATTTTGTTAACAAATAAAAGGAAAACTGCCTTTTAAATGAGAAAGAGCTAATAGGAAACCCATAAATTATTCTGAAGAAGAGAGAAAGACTTCCTTTCTACTCAGTTGTTCTTGTGGGAAAAATTAGGTCCACAATAAAGTGTTAGAATATTTTAAGAGTAGGCGTTCAAAGTTTGGTTGCATAATCAAATGAGGATTGCTAAAACTGCATATCTTTTGATTTACCTGTGAAAGTTCTGATTCGGGAGTCCATGTTTTGCTATACAGGTTTTTATTTTTATTTAATTATATTTCTTTTTTTTTGTATTTTTTTATGGAAGGGTTTACAAGGTATTCAGGGTCTCAGTACTAGATTGAACTCATAGTGATCCGCCTGTTTATAGCCTCCCAATTACAGTGCACAGCACCACACCCAGTCTCAATTGCTGTCTTAGCCATGTGACTGGGGCCGTGGCCACGGCAAGCCCAGGGGGTCAAACCCTGGCCGTTGCTCCTGCTTGCAGGCACTTTAATCCACTGAGTTATTTGGCTGGCCTTCTTTTTGGTTTTTTGAGATAGGGTCTTGCTATGTAGTTTAGCATGACCTTTAACTCACTATGAGTAAGGTACAGGCTGGCCTCAAACTCACAGGGATCTTCCTGCCACCACCTCTTAAGTACTGGGATTATGGGCATGCGTGCCAGCTTTTGCACACATTTTTAGCAGCCCTGAAACCTCTATTGTTGGCCCTACCTCATAATCCAGCCCTAAGGCTGTTTTTCACTACTGTCTTTGTTTTCCAGAGAAGGTTGGCTATGTAATTCACAGGCCCTAATGCAAATTAAAATGTAAGGACCTCTTCAAAAAGCAGGAAAAAAAGTACCACTTAAAGTTACAGAATATAATATGTTTTCTTTTAAAAGTCTTACTGCTGTCAAGCATTGGGGTAGTAGTGATTTACAAATAATAATAAACTATAAGTTGCAAAAAATAGTGTTTTGTGTTTTGGTACCAGGGATCAAACTCAGGACTTTGAGTTTGCCAGGCAGTTGTTCATGCTGCTGAGCTCTCTCCATTGCCTGGTTATAAAGTTTTTTTTTTTTTTTTTTTTAATGAGCAGAATATATTTATTGAGAGAAAGAAAGCTCCTGTCCAAGAGAGGGACAGGAGGGGAGCCCGAGCAGGTGGTTACCCTGGTTATAAAGTTTTTATGGCTTATTTTGTTGATAAATTTGCTTTATTGGGTTGTCACAAATTTTAGTTTTGGCAAGTTCATTTTCATTCACAATAATTGAGAGTGACATCAGTTGCTCTTGCCAAATGCAGCTAAATTTATTTTGGGAAAGATTATAGGCTGTGACATTAGGGTAAGTTTCTAATTGTTTTGAAGTATTAAGTACATTTAGACATGATCATCCTTGCAAAATGTTTTTCTAAAAACATTTAACTTCATATAATTCAGTTTTAGGTAAATTTGAATTAAATTCTAGGTGTAAATTTATACAATATTTAAATATTTCTTCTGATAGTTCTTTTTATATAGAAAGGTCATGTAAGACATAAAAGTAACTTCATGATTTGAATCTAATTAAAATTGTTTATGCATCCTGCTGCTAATGTTCAGTGATAAGTGGGTGTAGTGGCACACACTTGTAATCCCTGTACTCAGGAGGCTGAGGCCAAAGGATCATTGCAAATTCAATAACAGCCTAGACTAACTACCAAGTGAGTTCGAGGCCAGCCTGAACTACATAGTGAGACTCTATCTCAAAAAGACAGAAGGAAAAAAAAATTAAAATTGGGGTAATTGACTACTAATTGATTCTTCCCAAGTTTCATGTTCAGACAGCATTCTTTTCCATTGACTGTGACAGATGTTAATACTTATTTCTGAATCTGTAGACACTTGCTTTGCCGTAGCAAGTTTCAAAACGAGATACTGTATATGTTTATTTACATAATGGATGAATTTAGTCTCCCTTAGTAGACTCTAAAAATATTAGTATGAGAACCGTGTTTGCTTTTCCTTTATGGTATACTAGATGCAGTGTGGAGTACAGAGCTGTTGGATTAAAAAAATAATGAACACATGTGGGAGAGAGGATGAAATGACCCTCAGGAAGAGTGGAGGGCTGGGTTATTTTAAGGCCTCATTTGCATTCATTCATCAGTGCAACTTTTGATTAGTGGTTTTGATATTTTGACTTTTGGTAGTGTGAAAAATCTGATTTGAGAGAGGTAATATGAGGTAGGAAGTGAGATTGTTGAAGATAGTCAACAAAAATACTGACCTTTTTTTTTTAATGAGAGCAAAAGAAGAAACAAAACAATACAGAATTTCAAAACAAGATGCGAAATTAACAGTAGTTATGGGGCCAGGGAGATGGCTCAGTGGAATAAGCGCTTCCCTGGCAAGTGCAAAAGCCTGAGTTCAATCCCCAGTTTTGCAAAAAAAAAAAAAAGGTTATTATATTGCATACAGTTATCTTCAAAGTAGCTGCTGAGATTACCAGATATAGGCATGCAAAATTGATCAGACAATATAAGCACTAATTGTTCCTTTTAATGAACCTAGTACTACAATTGTATATACATTTATATATGTATATAAGTATACATATATATATTTATATATGTATATATTCCCCGCTCCTTCTCTTCTCCTTTCCCTCATTCCAGTTGTTCTTTCCTTTTGATCAGTTTCTTTCCCTTTCACACTATGAATTGTACCTTTCTGTTTGTTTTTGTGGTACTGGGAATTGAATTCAGGACCTCAAGCGCTTATTCTATTGAGGCTTATTTTATTGAGCTATCTCACCGGCCCTCTTTTGGATCTTATTTACTCTTCAGTTTTTTATACTATGGAGACAGTGCTGTTTCACGTGTGAGTCTGGTTTGTTTCAATTATGAGTACAGTCTCTGGTTCTTTCATGTTGAAGGAGAGTAAATATACATTTGAGAGAAGCAGGGGACTACCCCCAAAACAGGCTCAGAATTGTTCTTAACTTTTTTTTTGCAGAACAGGTGAACTCAGACCCTTGCATTTGCCAGGGAAGTGCTTATTCTACTGAGCCATCTCTCTAGCCCCTAAAATTTTTCTTAACTTTTACATTAAAAATTGATGAAAGTTTTATTCTAGTCCATAATGATTGTATGTTTGTAATATAAAATTATTTGCCTTGTGCTTTGAATAAAACTACTAATTTTAGAAGGCTGGTCTATATTTTGTGTTGTTTTAGTAAAGATTAGAGAATTAATCAGAAAACAAGTTGGGTGTGGTGGCACAACATCTTTAATTTCATTTGCATTTTGAGTCTGAAGGATTCCCCTGAGTTTAGCCAGCCTGAACTACATAGTGAGACCCTGTCTCAAAACAACAACAAAATTTTTTCAAAAAGAAAAAGAAGCAAATCAGTAGTAAGATAGTGATCTAATCAAGTGAGGTCTGGAAAATTCCCTACTGCTCTATTTAGTAAGTTCATGTGGAAAGATTATTGGAGCCATAGGATTTGAAGGGCATAGAGGGGCCGAACTATCAGGATCCCTCTTGCTTCCAATAGTGATTGGCTGTGTGGCATTTGTCAGTCAGTGTCTGTTTTTTAATATTGAAAATAGGGCAGTAATATCTATTCCAGGGTCATTGTGAAGATTAAACTAATTTATATAACAATGAAAATGTTTAATGTGTAACACATATTAAGCATCCTATAAAATATTTTGTACTTTGATATAGCAAATAGCCTTCATCAAAGCATAAAAGGTAATTTTTTTTTTCCTCTGCATTTTAGGGAAGATTCTACAGGGTGTTCAGCATCTCACTACTAGATCGGACTTGTAGTGATTCCCCTGTTTACAGCCTCCCAAGTGCTAGGATTACAGGCATGCACCCCCACACCCAGTCTCAATTGCTGTCTCAGTGTGCCCCAGGGGTGGGACCAGCACAGCAGGCCCTGAATCGAACCCCTAGCCCCTGCATCTGCTTGCAGGCGCTTTAATCTGTTGAATTATTTGGCCAGCCCAAGATGAATTTTATAGTAAGCATTCAAATATATTAGTTGGACTAATAAAATTCTAGTAAATGTCTTCTACAATAGTAGTCAATTTTGTGGGTTGATGGAAATGTTCTGTGTTTACCATGTCCAGTACTATCACCACTGGTCACATGTAGGTAATTGAGCGCTTGAAATGCTTCATGGAGCCACATGTAGTAGTGACTGTTTGGGCAATACATGTCTAGAGTTTGGCTTTGTATGTCTTTGCATTCTTCTGAGTCAGAAACATTGATTTACACTTGAAATATGCTACCTTATCAATTCTTCAGGTTGTTTGCATCTAGCCATTAGGTACAGCTTTAACAGGTTGTATCTAACTACTTTTGTGTTTTTCTTGTTCTGTCATCATCAAAACATAATATTTTTTATTATATCTGACCCTATTACCTTCAAACTTTGGATATGACTATGATATTCATTTAAGAAAAGTCCACAGAACAAAGTTGATTAATCTTGAGTTTAACTGGCCTGTCTCGTTCCTTTTTAAGATTGAGGGCATGAAGATAAGAGTTACTATAAGAATTTTTAGGATTCCAAGGGACATCTGATTACCAGCTTTTACAAGATCCAATTCCAGACCCTTTCTCCTTAAAGTAGTGTCAGAAATAGCCCAAGCCATTCCTTGAGTTACCCAGGAACTCAAGGCTCACCTGACTGAAACTACCAACAGAGGGAATTGTTTCATAGGAATAGAATTACTGCTCAGTGCAACAGGATTTCTCCAGCTCTGAGAAACAAAATGAGGATCATTTTTTGTTGATCCTTAGCCAATCACACTACTCCATATATAACTGGCCTCAGTTCATAATTGTTTCATCCAGCTACTGCTCACTGCAGTCATTTAATTCGGTTTCTATTTAAAACTTTTTCTTAAAATTTGTGCCATATATTAATTTCTATTATAACTAAAAACAAGGACCTGGGGGTAGCTAGGGATAATTGTAATTACAGGGTTGCTACCTATGGCAAGCTTCTTCTACTGTGAGGCTCTCAAGGAAGACCCCAGCCATCAGATGACTTGGTGTAAAATAAATTTAGCAACTTAAGAGATTGCAAAGATAGCTATCTGAAGGGAAACAGAATAAAACTAAATATATATGCTTCACAGTCTCACATCTATTTTTATGTGTTAAGTGGTTTCATTTAATAATGATTTCTAGGTTTCAGAATATATGTGCTTTACCATATATCTTAACATCATTTCAAGAACTTTTTTTTTTTTTTTTTTTTTTTTTTTTTTTTTTTTTTGTTTTTTGAGACAAGGTCTCACTGTGCAGTTCAGGCTGGCTTTGAGTTCATTCTGTAGCTCATGCTAGTCTTGAACTGCAGTGATCCTCCTGCCTCAGCCTTCCGAGTGCTGGGATTACAGGTGTGGGCTGCTGTGCATGACTGAAGAACTTCTTTTTTATACTAAGTGATTTTCTTTCTTGTTTCTTTTTTTTTTTTTTTTTTACTGCAATCCTGAGAATTGAACTCAGGACCTTGTGCTTGCCAGACAGTCACTTATGCTGCTGAGCTATATCCGTGGCCCTGATTTTATTCTTTTCTGACTCATCATTGTTAATGTATAAAAACACAACTGATTCCTTTTTTTTTCCCTGTTGGCTCTATTTCCTGCAATGTTGCCCAGTCAGACATTAAGTGTTTATCCAATATTTGTGCATTTCAACTGTGATATTTTGGTACCTACAGAAAATGATTTCAGGGGCTGGGGAGATAGCTTGGCGGTCTAGCTCTCCTGCCTGGCAAGTGCAAGGACTTGAGTTTGATCCCTGGTACCACAAAAAAAAAAAAAAAGAAAGAAAGAAAAGAAAAAGATTTCACCTTGTTTATTTACCAATTTCAGATGTAAACTGGGATCTTCCTCTACAAATCATAAGATCAGTTACAATTCTGACAGCCAATTAAACATGAAGGGAAATTTACTTTTTGTTCAGAAGAAGGCAAGAGAACTAACTCTTGGAATACCGGATTTCCACACAGTGAGGAAAGATTCTTTGAGAAAGAGGGAAAAGGCAGGATTTTAGTTTAACGAGGTGGAAAATCATGTAACTTATGTGTTAGGGGTTTAATTCCATCTACAATACAATGGAAGATGTCATTGAAACTACCTGTGGCTTGGAAGAATCAGGAGTTCAGAATTTCCATCCTGAACAGTGAAACCTAAGGCCATCATCAGCACACTAGTGCCTTTACCATCACTGCTGCCATTTTGTCCTAGTGTCATTTTCTTGGTGAACAGTTTTTTTTTTGTTTTTTGTTTTTGTTTTTTGTTTTTTTTTCAGAACTGGGGATTGAACTCAGGCCCTTGCACTTGCCAGGGAAGTGCTTATTCCACTGAGCCATTTCCCTGGCCCCAGTAGTTGTTTTTGTGGTCTTGGGGACTCAGCCCCAGGTTCTGCACCGCTAAATTTTAAGCCTAAGACTTTTTACATTAAGTGTTGAAGCAGGATTTGGCTAAGATCCTTGAAATTGACATTCTCAGAGATGACCCACATATAGGACTACCATGGTACATGGAGATAAAATTGAGACTGCTATCCATTTTTGACAAGATATTGAACAAAGATAAATTATGTATCTTGAAAAAGTCTTGGTACTGAAAATGGTAATTATTGATATTTATGTTTTGACCTTGCACCAAACTAAGCTTTTGGAAATTATTGCTATGCCAAACTTACTGAAGGTCACATTGTGGAAACAACCTTTTGAGATAGAGATTTCATCCCCATGGTTGGATTCAAATTCTTAAGTTCAAGTTCTCTTCCAATCTTGGCCTCTTGAGTACACACCATACCTGCCTTGGGAAATTTTAAAAATAATTCTCATTTAAAGAACACATTTAAAAGAACTCAAGCCAAGTGTGGTAATGTTCACATGCAGTCCCAGCATCTTGTAGGCTGAGGCAGGAAGATCACTGGAGTTCCAGAAGAACTTGGACTACACTGTGAGTGCAAGGCCAGCCTGAACTACAAAGTAAAACATGGGGGGGATGAGGGGGGAAGAATACTTTAGATATATTGTGGTGCTGGGGATTGAACCCAGGGTCTCACCAGAATGTCACTGACCTACACACCCAACCTGACCAATAAGTTAAAGAAACAGCCTTGGAGATTTTCAAATAGCATTTTGTGGCACTTTACAGGAAAGTCATATATGGAAGGAAATACTGTTTAAAGTATTAAAGCTATATCTCTGAGGGACCGGGGAGATGGTTCAGTGGAATAAGTGCTTCCTGGCAAGCGCAAGGGCCTGAGTTCAACCCCCAGTTCCCAAAAAAAAAAAAAAAAAAAAAGACTACTCTTAACATTTGGGGGCCCAGCCCTAGCTCAGTTCTTTAAGTGGCTGCTTCCACAATGCTGGCAGCCTCAGTTTGCTGTAGTTCGATCCCCACAACACTCCAGCCATGCCAAAGTGCCCTGAAGGCATTCAAGGAGCGTGGGGGGGGGGATATTCCTTATTCCATTCTTTGGGGCTGGTGCGATGGCTCAGTGGTCTAAAGCACCTACTTAGAACAAGCTTAGCCAAGCACAGGGACCACGGTTCAATCCCCCAGCACCACATGCCAGCCAGCCCCGCCCCCTGGTGGGCTGAGCTGGCCACAATATACAAAAAATATATAAATAAAATTAAAAAAAAAAAAAAAAGCTATATCTCTGAAGGTGAAAATAGTGTCGTGTATCAGAAATTAAGCTTCTTACCAGTGGCACAGTGTGTCACCAAAACATAGTACTTTTGAAAATATCGGTGGTGCAATATTTTTTTTTAAATTTAATTTAATTTATTTATTTTTGTGGCCAGCTCAGCTGACTCTGGGGGCGGGACTTCCACGGCATGTGGTGCTGGGAATTGAACCGTGATCCCTGTGCTTTGCCTAAGCTTGTCTAAACAGGTGCTTTAGACCACTGAGCTATCTCTCCAGTCCCAGTGGTGCAATATTAATGAAAAGGGTAAACATATAGCCTGATTATAAATAATTTTCATTTTTTAGACTGATCAAAATAGAATGATGAAAATGATTTTTTTTGGTCACCTTTGTATAACATCCCTACTTCTAACATTTTCCCCATTACAGACTATCTGGAGAGATTATGTTTTACACTGACATAAAAGTTGAAAGAATACTATTACATATCCTTTTAGCAAAGCAGTTTAGTCCAGGTTCTTGTCCCAGAATTCTGAGTAATACAGTAATTTTTGCATAATGACTGACTAGATGACAATTCTGTGTTTCTTTTTTGTTCTTGGAAATACATTGTTCATTTACTGATTTTCAAGTTTGAGAAGATTCGTCTGGGGCAAGGTTTTGTAACTGTCGGTCCGTATGGGCATTTGGGGCTGACTGATCCCTGTTGACATGGATATTTAGCAGCATCCCTAACTTTTGTTCACTGGTTGCCAGCAACACTCCCCAGTGTGACAACCAAATATGATTTCAGACTCTGCCAGATGTCCCTAGGGTACAAAACTGCCTTAAGAACCACTGCTTTAAGATACGCATCATTTGAAGACTCAGTCTGAGCTTTCTCCTATGTGATCATTTGGTAAAACTACTCATATAGGAGTAAGCTTAGATGGTTTTTGTTGTTTTGTGGGGTTGGGCTAGGATCCAAGGCCTTGTACATGCTAGGTGAACTTGCAGGGATACTCCTGCCTCTGCCTTCCTAGTGCTGAAAGTACAAATGTGCTGCCATGCCCGACTCCTAGATACATATTTCTAAGCAAATAGTTATTTTTTTCTCAGTCCTCCAACCTCTTTTGCTTTTTTTTTGAGACCAGGTCTCTCTGTGTAGCTCAGGCTGGCTTTGAACTCATTATGTAGTCCAGGCTGGCCTCAAATTTGTAACAATCCCCCTGTGTGCTGGGATTACAGACATGCACCATCATGCCTGGCCATTCTTCTTTTCATATTGAAATTTTCATTTTCACTATAATTTGAGCAATATTTTTTTTTCTTCTGATTTTTTTTTTTTTACAAACTTAAAATATTTTAATACCTCCAGAAGTAGCATATAGGAAATAACAAAGAGCATAATTCAAAAGGCAAGAGAAGTTGCAGTATGCTCCTGGATGAACAATAAAGAGCTCTCAATATGATAGTTATGCAGGACTATATAAAAGATATATTAGATGAACCCTTATTTCTGTTTGTTATTTTGCTTGACATTTACTGGGGTTTTAAAATTCAAGGTTTAATGTCCCTCGGCAGTTTGTGGATTTTCATTTTTCTGGTTCCTTTTTTTTTTCCCATTGAGACTGCATACTGTGTGAGGCAAGATCCTACCAATGCCTACCGATGCCTACTTGAAGTGGAACTGAAGTTCTGAGAGGGGAGGGTGAAGAATCTTGGATGAGGAGATATCTATAGAGGTCAGCCACCTGATCTGAAGAGAGCAGAAAATGGCCTTTCACTTTACCCTCCAAGATCTTCACATTTGTACCTTTCTGTGCCTTTCAGTATTTTTTTTTCCAATTTTCTTTTTTTTAAAAATGTATTTATGAAATTTTATTAAATCTTTACAATCATTTGTGAACTTTAAAGATGTTGACTCATAGAACACACTGCACACAATACCTTAGACAAAAAAATTCTTAAGCATTTTCTTTAATTTCTTTAATTTTACCATTGCATTCATACCATGGTTCTTAAGTGATACAACAGCTTTTGGGATGTGGTGCTTTTTTTCCCTAAAGTCATCAGTTTATTGCAGTAGGTCCAAGTTTATTCTAATGTGTTTGTATGACCCAGGATAGTATGTTTGTGTTACATGCTCACACACACTTGAGATGTGTTCTACTGCTTGTTAGGTGGTGTGTCCTGTATCAGTCAGATCCAGTTAGGTTGTGTTCAGTTCTTCTATATTCTTAAGTGCTTTGTATATATACTTATTCTTTTACTGAGAAAAGGATGTTAAAACCTCTAAAATTGTGTATTAGTTTGTTTTTGTGTTGTGTATTTTGAAGCTTTAAATGCATAGACATTTAGGATTAATGTCTTCTCAGTGAACTGGACCTTTTACCATTAGGAAACGGTATGATGCTAATATAGCCACTCCAGCTTTCTTCTAGTTTCTGCTTAAATATTGTGTATTGTCCCCATCCTTGTGCCTTTAGATAGTATGGGAATTCAAATTCTTGTGGACAGCAGGTAGCTGATTTTTTTAACCCTGAGTAGTCTTTCCCTTGGTGTGTGCTTAGACCATTACATTCAGATATTTAGATTTAGTTCTGCTATCCATGTGCTGTTTTTCCCCCCATTTACCTCTGTTGCCTGCCTTTAGTTTTGGGGGTTTTTTAGTCCTGAGTATTGAACTCATGTCCTTTGCACTGATCTGTATTCCTGCTCTTTTTGAGACAGGGTCTTGTTAAGCTACCCAAGCAGGACTAGGACTTTCAACCTTCTTGGCCTCAGCTTGTCTCAGTGTTGTGTTACAGGTGTGTGTGATTGCCTACCTCATTTGAAGGCTTTTTATTCCATTGTACCTGACCTTCTGAAATAGTAGACTTAATTTCCTATAAAAGTTTTTTCATGGTGCCGGTTTTCTTTTCAGAGTGCCTAAAATGATTTTTTAAAAATATTTATTTATTTATTTATTGCATGTGTGGGTGTGTGTGGGTGTGTGTGTGTGTGGCCAGCTCAGCCCACCAGGGGGGCGGGGCTGGCATGTGGTGCTGGGGGATTGAACCGCGGTCCCTGTGTTTTTGCTTAGCTTAGCTTGTACTAAGTAGGTGCTTTAGACCACTGAGCCATCTCACCAGCCCCCCTAAAATGATTTTTAGTCTGTTGTGTTTTTATCTTTTTAAATTGCAGTATATTAATGTATACATTAAAATCACAAACTTGAGGTGTCCAGTTTTTTTTTTTTTTAATTTTATGTAAGGGTCTACAGGGTGTGGTCTACAGGGTGTTCAGGGTCTCACTACTAGATCAGGCTCCTAATGATCCCCCTGTTTGCAGCCTCCAAAGAGCTGGGATTACAGGCACGCACAAACCACTCCCAGTCTCAGTTGCCATCTCAGGGCACCCCAGGGGGTGAGGCTGGCACAGCAAGCCTGGGGATCAACCGGCCCCTGTGCCTGCTTGCAGGCATTTTAATCTGCTGAGCTATTTGGCCAGCCTTCTTCACATTTTTGTGCATCTAGTATCACCACTATCCTGAACTGAAATTCTGTCCACTTAAACACTGACTCTCCATTGTGTGCTACAAACCAGTTTCCTTTATTCCTTTTGTAGAAGAGATTGAAACTTTCACACTGAGCTACTTGCTCAGCACTTTTTTTTTTTTTTAAACATTTATTTAGTGTGTGTGTGTGTGTGTGTGTGTGTGGCCAGCTCAGCCCACCAGGGGGGCGCGGCTGGCTGGCATGTGGTGCTGGGGGATTGAACCGCGGTCCCTGTGCTTTGCCAAGCTTGTTCCAAGTAGGTGCTTTAGACCACTGAGCCATCTCTCCAGCCCCAGAACTTTTTTATGTTTTGGGACACTAAGTGACTTAAGTTGACTAGGCTTTGCTCAAACTTGTGCTCCTCCTGCCTCAGCCTCCCAGAGTGCTGGGCCTATAGGCATGTACTGCCATATTAGGCTCTATTTTATTTCTCTATGACTTTTAAATATCTCTTATAAATGGGATCAGCAGTGATCTTTATTGTCTATCTTACTTAACGAAGTGTTTTCAGGGTTCATATTATAGCCTTTGTCAGTCTCATTCCCTTTTGATGGTAAATAACATTCTATTTTGTGTACTTTTTTGGTATGAGTTGTTGCTACATTTTCATTTTTGTGACTCATTTAATGGCCTTATAAGTCACTGTATGATTATATTACAATGCATTGTAGAAATTCACATTGTTAATTTTTAAATTCTTTTTTAATGGCTGTTCTTTGGGAACAGCTTTGTGGCCTGTGTATGTATATGGGAGAAGTTCTTTAGGGAATATATGCCTAGAAGTGGACTTGTGTGTACCGTGTTCAGGACCAGTTCCCAAGTGAGTATTCCATTTTAGGACACCATGAGAAATTTATAATTATCTTTGGTAACTTCAACTTCCCCAACACTTTTTTGTTTTTGCTTTTGTTTTTATTTTGAGACAGGGTCTTGCTGTGTGGTTCAGGCTGGCTTCGAACGCCTGCCTCAGCATCCCATGTGTTGGGATTACAGGTGTGCATCATTATGCCCCGCCAAACACTTCTTTTTGTGCTTAATTTTTGTTTAATCATCAGCTTGAAATGATGGCTTATGGCTGGTTTACATTTCCATGTTTGTTGGTGTGGTTGAGTATGTTTCTAAGCCATTTTACTATTCTGAATTGTGTAACCTATTGTTAATTTTCCATTTGTCTATTATATTTTGTGTGTGTTTGGATTGGATTTGTCAGTATATTACGAAAAATTCAAATAGTATTTTTTTAAGAAGAAAGTTTATTTTCTTGTACATTTGGTGTTATACTATCCAAGGATGATCATCTAGGGCTCACCATTCTCTTTCTGTTTTCCTATTCTTCAGGGGTGTTTTATGTCTTCTGGGTCTTCTTATGATCCAAGATAGCCATCATACTAGAGAACAGGAAAGGCCATGTGTTGTGTTCCAGCTGGATCACACCTTGAGGGAATCCCTCCAGAAAGTTTACAAGTACCTTATTGCCCAGAACTTAATTCTACAGCTGCTCCTAGTTAGAGAAGAAGGTAGGAGGGCTGGGGAGATAGTTCAGCAGTCTAAGCACCTACCTGGCCAGCCCAAGGACAGGGTTTGATACCTAGTACTGCATGTTGTTCTGGCCACTGAAACTGGGTGTGGTGGCACACACCTGTAACCCCAGCGCTGGGCAGGTTGAGACAGGAGGATCACTACAAGCCCAAGCTGTGTAGCAAGACCCTGTACCAAATAAATAAATAATTGTTTTAAAGAAAAGAAGACTGGGCATGGTGGTGGGCACCTGTAATCTCAGCTCTTAGGTGGCTGTAAACAGGTGGATCACTATGAGTCTGATTTAGTAGTGAGACCCTGAACATCCTGTAGACTCTTCTGTAAAAATACAAAGAGAGAGAGAGAGAGAGAGAGAGAGAGAGAGAGAGAGAGAGAGAGA